GTTGCGAGTTCAAGGCCAGCCTGGGCTACAAAGTGAGCTCAAGGCTAGCCTAAACTGCATAGCAGGACCCTGTCTCAAAAAAAAAAAAAAAAAAAAGTAAGAATTTCTATGCATGCCTACTTGACTGCAACTTATTCCTTGCCAACTGCTTTATTTTTAATCAAACCAGGACTGAATGGAGAAAAGTAGTAAATGCCATTGATCAGTATCAGAATATAATGCATAACAGACAGAACTAAACACTAAATCACAAGGTCCAATAACTAACACTGCAATCTATATTTTAGATAAAACTGTCATCATATACTTACATTTTAACGTCTCTCCAGCATATGGTATGTGCAGTTTGAATCGGTCACAGTTAGGTCCCGGAGTCAATGAAGTACAGCTTTATGAAAAGCAGAAAGACAAGATATTTTAAAAACAAATTTTAAAGGCCTATATACTTATAATATTTAGTAAAGTAAATAAAAAGTGATCCACAAAGGTAAAATAAAACACTGAGTTACAGAACAAAAATTTAAGCAAAAAAGCCTTTATGGTGGTCATGGAGAAAAAAATAGCAAGCCTTGCCCTAAAACCAATAATCCACTTATCTCACAAAACAACTTATATCTCCTAACAACACACACCATCAGTGCTTCAAATACTCCTCTCAGAGAAGTGCATCTCAACTTTCAAAACTAGGTATATCATCCAAAACAGGTCTCTAGTCTTTGATGCCAAGAATTCTAAGAGAAAAGTAATTTTATGGTCATATTTTAAACAGACTTTTAGCTTTCACTCTGTTAGAAGAAAAAAGCACCCACTTTTGGCCTTTTTCTGGTACCAGATGGTTTTCTTTCTTTCCACAAAGGTACACGCTTCCTCTAGATTTGGCACACTATAACTTTCATCTGCAGGAGAGCATGATGCACTGTACTCGATTTCAGATAAAATGTAAATTCTACAGGGTGGGATTGAGTTAGTCACCCAGGTCTCAACATTTTTTTTATCCATTGCTTCACAAAGTTCTTTCTTCTTTATACATATTTATTTTACAAGACATCTCATGATCTTACAAGTCAGAATTTCAACTACATAGCAGCAGTACTGGCCTTATATTATAATAAAACACTAATATGAAATCAACTGAGGAAGTTAGATGTCTTCATTTCACTTTTTAAAAGTAAGATAATTTATAAAGTAAAGCAAGGAGACTGATTTTCTTTCATAATTCCAAAACTAACCCTAAAGCAGTTCTGAAAATTGAACTTATAAAAGCAGTTTAATGGATGGAGCAGCTGGAATAAATGTACAATTTCCTTAGATGGCCACTTTGAAGGGTAAAGGTCATTTGAAAATAAATTCAAGAAATATTGTCTTTAAAGAAAGTAGCTGAGTTCTCATACCAGATTTACTGTTCCTTCTTCCCAAAACTATTTGAATGTAACAGAGGAAAAATAACCTTTACTCAGATGTACTTAACATAAATCACTAGATTAATTATTCCTCTTTATCGTTAGGAACTAAAAAAAAAAAAACAGTATCAAAAGTAAACAATAACAAAGATGCAAATTAGAACAGCAGTGAAATGCCATCTTATTCCAGAAAGAATGCCTACTGTCAAAAAATCTAATAACAAATGCTGGTAAGGCTGCAAGGGAAAAAAGGAACCCCTCCACATTGTTGGTGGGAGTGTAAACTGGTACAACCACTATGGAGATAAGTATGGTGATTCCTCAAAAAGCTAAAAATAAGGGCCAGGATATAGCTCAGCAGCACAAACGCCTGCCTGGCAGGCACAAGGTCCTGAGTTCAATTCCCGGTACCAAAAACAGAACAAAAAAAAAAGCTATAAATAAAAATTTCATTTGACCCAGTTATCCCCTTCTAGGAATCTTCCCAAAAGAGTTAAAGTCACCATTATTACAGTGATAGATGCATATCCATGTTTACAGCAGCACAATTTATAATACCTAAATCTTGGAAACAGCGTACAAATATATCCATCAACAGATGAATGATACAGAAAACGTGGTATTTACACACAGTGAAGGACTACTCTGCAATAAAGAAGGATAAACTTGAGGCACTTGTACATAAATAGATGAATCTTGACACCATAGTGTTAAGTGAAATAAATCAAACACACAAGTTTAAATATCAGAAGGTTTCTCTTATATGAGAAACTCAAAATATAAATAAAAAGCAAAATAAAGGTTAAATAATAGGAAGTAGGGAGATCTTTTCCAAATGGGAAGGAGAACAGGAGATAGAGGGGAAGAAGGAAGAAGGGAAGGAAAGGGAAAAGGATTTAAAAAAAGAATGAAAAAAAAGCAAAGAAATGAAACTGTTTCAAATGGAAAGGAGATGAGGAGCTGGAGGGAGAAGGGAAGGGTGGGAGGGGAAGGGGACAAAATAGAATTAAAATGTTGTGCATATGCACAAACTCCTCGCAATAAATGTAATAATGTATTGCAAATATGTACTAATTTTTAAAAATAATTTTAAAATAAAAATGAGGAGGCTGAGACCAAAAAAGTAAATAACAAAGTTACACTAGCAATTGAACAGTAACATTTTAATTTTTCACAGATTTGAAGAACATATTTCAATATAAAATAACTTTGAGCTGGGGGTGGTGGCACACACCTGTAATCCCAGCACTTGGGAGGCTGAGGCGGGAGGATTGCCATGAGTTTGAGGCCAAGGTGGGCTACCTAATGAGTTCAAGGCTAGCCTAAACTACATAACAAGATCCTGTCACACAAAAATAAATAAATAAATAAATAAACAAACAAACAGAAATCAGCAGTACAATTATCTTAGCTATCCTGTGTATATGTACTTTTTTTCCCTTCTTTCTTTCTTTTCTCCTTTCCCTCATCCCAGCTGTTTCTTTTTGAGCAGTTTCTATCTCTTTTCACAATATCTGTTGTACCTTTCAGGTTTTATTTACTCTTTCAGATTCTTACACTAGGGGGACAATATAATGTTTACACATGCAGGTCTGATTTATTTCACTTATGAGTATGGTAGCGAGTTGCATCCATTTACGTATAAAAGCCTGAAGTCTGTCTTTCTCTATAGCTGAGTAATACTCCATTGTATAAAAATACCACATCTTTTTTATCCATTTCTCAGATGATGGGCGTTTGGGTTGTTTCCAAGATTTAGCTATGACAAATTGCACTCCTGTAAACATGGGTGCACACATACCACTGTGGTGTACTGTTTTCAGTTCTTCTGGGGAAACACCCAGAAGGGGAACAGCTGGGTTGAGTGGGACCTCTAATCCAGTTTTTTGAGGAATCTCCACAGTAGTTGTACCAGCCTACACTCCCACCAGCAGATGAGAAGGGTTCCTTTTTTCCCACAGCCCCTCCAGCATGTTATTGGTTGAATTCTTGATGATAGCCATTCTTTCTGGGGTGAAACAGAATCTCAGAGCTGTTTTTAATTTGCATCTCTAAAATGACCAATAATGTTGAACGCTTTTTCATGTATTTATTTGCCATTTGTATTTCTTCATCTGAGAAGTGTGTATTCATCACAGATGCCCACTTTTAGATTAGATCTTTGAATTTTGGGGGCCTGATTTTTTTAATTCTTTAAATGTTCTAGATAGAAGTCCCTTGTCTGATGGACAGTTGGCTAAAAATTGTTCCCATTGCCTGGGTTTTCTTTTTATTCTGTTGGTGATTTCTTTTGATGTGCAAAATCTTCCAATATGATGAGATTCCAGTTGTTGATTCTTTGAAATATTTCCTGTATAGTTTGGTTTTTGTTCATGAACTCTCTACCTATCCCTTTGTCTTCAAGATTTCTACCTACTTTCTTTTCCAGTAGATTTAGTGTTTTTGCTTTAATATTTAGATCTTTGATCCAGTTTGACTTTAGTTTAGTACAAAGTGATAGACATGGATCTAGTTTTAGTCTTCACCATGTGGAAAGCCAGTTTTTCCAGCACCATTTATTCAAGAGGCTAATTTTCTTCCAGAAGTTAGAGCTTCTTTACATTGTGGTATTACAAAACTTCACATTACCTTTTCACGTGTGCATGTGCATGTGATGCTAAGGACAAAACCCAAGCCCTCATACATACTAAGCAAGCACTGTACCACTGAACTACATCAAGCCAGACACAGTGTCACATTTCTAACAGTCATTATTTCTTAGTTTCTTGGGTCAAAATTTGGTAAATGGCTTGGCTGGTTGGTTCTAGACTGCCACCCATGAAACTGCAGTCAGAAATCAATAACAGATAACAAACTGAATAGGGAAATCCATTCATCTAGAAAATCATTTCCAAAAAAAAAAAAAGAGTGGCTGGGGATTTAGCTCAGCGGCATGGCGCCTGCCCATCAAGCGCAAAGTCGTGAGTTTGATCCCTGGTACCGGGAAGAAAAAAAAAAAAAAGAAAGAAAGAAAGAAAGAAAGAAAATCATTTCCTTAAACAAGTATGAAATAGCTACTAAAGAAAAAAACTACTGGCTTCATTAAATTTATATTTGTATAAAGGTAACTTATCTTCACCCATAGTTATTTCCACGGTTTAAAAAGCCAATATTCCAAACTGAGTAACTTTTAACAAAATAACATTGTTGACAGTTAAAATGTAACTTCAAATTTATCTCTTGACTATAGCTCATAGGTGCTTACCAATGGGTTTCAGGCACCGTGCTAAGAGGTGGAAATACAAGCCTGGTGTGGAGGATCATAACTTCACAATTTAATGAGATCCTATCTCAAAATAAATGGAAAGATGGGCTGGGGGTGCAGCTTAGTAGAAAGGCCCTGGCTGGGTTCAATCCCCAGTACAGAAAAGGGGAGGGAAGGGGAGGAGAGGGGAGGGAAGGAGAGGGGAAGGGAGGACAGAAGGGAAGGGAAGGAGGGGGAGGCGAGGAGGGAGAGGTGGAGGAGGGAGGAGGAGGAAGGAAAAAGGAAAGAGGGGAGGGGGCAAGCAAGCAGCAGTAACAGGAACAAAAAACTTATGTTGGTATTACAGTACAAAAGGTTTTAGATAAAGAACGATACTGTACAGTATACCTTTCCCTGATTTCATCTTACCACAACATACTAGGAATGCACTATTTTAAAGTTTAACATGGGGGAGAACCAAGGGACTTGAACTGACATTCTACAGATTATGCAAGTAGCAATTATAAGGTGGGAATTCTTGATAAGATCAAAGAAGGTAGTTTATTCTATTACTTTATTACAGAAATTGCAGTTAAACATTAATATAATAAAATGCTGAGCATAATAACCTTTGCATACTCTCATGCCTATAGTCTCTTATTTTACCTTTAATCATATGAGTTCTAGCATTATTATTTATTTTCCGATTGTGGTTGTTTTCTCCACAAGATTATAAGAATCTCAGTGCCAATAACTTTTACACTT